AAAGCGGTTGTCTTTAAGTTTTAAGACTTATTAGAACAACTGAAAAAATACCATTGAATGAAAGATACAAGGGTAGATTTTGACTGCCACTGGTTTCAGTTTAAAGATTTTTAAATTTTATCTTAGACAGAAGAATTCTTTTGAAATAATCTGTTCTCAGAAATCAGAGTGAGAGTCTTTATTCAGCTTTTGTGGTTTTCCGCGCCTTCATCATGTAAGTTTTTGCAAAGAACTGAATAAATAAAACCGCAAATGTGGTGTAGAGGAAGAAGGCTAAGTAGAGGTTTCCCATAGACTGCTGGCATCTGAAATTAACTTCAGGTGTAGACTAGTTTACGGGCGGTAAATATTTGCTGGAATAACATAAATGAGGCTAATTAGGAGTCCAAAGTTTACAAGAAATTGTTTATTGCTGATAAAATTCAAAACGATTTATACTTATAGTTCGGAAAGAAGTATTGCTAAGTGCTGTCATAACGGCAGCTGTCAAAACTTTTATTGAGAGCTACACCTTTAGTCACTTTATTGGAAAGAAAAAGAAAACTAACGGTAAAGTCGTTTCCGTTTTTATCCTGTAGACAAGGTATGAGATAAAGACTCCAGCTAGCATTTGTACTGTTTGGACAGTGGTCACCATCATTGCAACAAATCTGAAAAATTATTGTTTAAAATGTTCATACAGACACACCGGTCAGTAAATCCGGAAAGCTTACTATTAATTCAATAATTTTTAAAGTTTACCTTGGAACTTTGAATCCATAGGCTTTACAGGCATAATAAGAATACATAATGGAATGTGCAAACAAATTCATACTAACAAAAAATCGTCCAGCTCCGGCATGTTCGGCTCCTAAACGAAGACAAAACCATCAAAGGTCGAGTTTTTTTACCATTATTAAAATTGTGCACATGTCCTCTCCATCCATTTAAACCCCAAGTGAAAGTGTTAAAACACATTGGTTTTATGCAAGTGCTCTTTTGTACAATATTAAAACAGAAAATGCTGAGAAATTTAATATGATGCTTCCAAGGTCAAAAGACGCACAAAATTTATTTTAGCAAATTTAATTCAACAACAAATGAAAAAGAAAATTTTGTTTTATTTACGAAAAACTTTTATTAAATTTGCTTCTAATAATTGGTTTACCTGAATGAGCCGTATAAATCAGCACAGCAGCATGATGATAATAATGTAAAAAGATCAAAGGTTTTTTGCGTAAAACAATAAAAATAGTGTCGCCAAGTTCAACAATTTTTGAAATTGCAAACTGAAGTGACCAAAATGCTGCAACATCAGTTGGATTCACCGAATAGCATAACGATTCGTAAATTCCTCGATAAATTGCCGAATAAGCAACGTCCTATAAACGTTCATTTTAAATCAGCTGATACGGGTTGCTAAAGCAACATCTTAATGCTTCTTGTTATATCCATTTGCGGTATCAGATTCATATGTAAAATAAATGTTATCTAACCCTCACTCGTAATTTTTCAACTCAGCTTCAAATTTTTCTATTGCAAGAAAAAAAAGATTGATGAACCGTGTTACTTGGCAATCACTATCCGGAGGAAATTAAGTGAACAAAAGCAGTTCTTAATTTTGCGTATCACAAAGAGTGGTCAGCAGAAATGAACAGTGGAGGGTCTTATGATACGGCAGAGCTAACAGATAGACTCACATGAACTTCAGTAGGTTGTAACGAGTACAAAATGCTACCAGTCTTAGATGTGCAAAAAAATATTCATTAAAAATTATTTGTTGCCAATTTGAAGGTAAATAATGAACAAAACTCGCAAAAAAAAAAATTTATGTTGCTTATAAGGTTTCAATGACAATCACTAACAATCCTCCACTAGAAAACTTTCAAAATTTGAAATTTTTACAGCGTACTAAAAATTTTTCAATTATTTTTAAAATAACATCAAACTTTTTATCCTTTTCACTCTAACCTGAGAATACTTTGAGCTTTCTCTTTCAAAAGGCATCTGATATTTCCAGCGCAAGTTAAGTTTAAACACATAGAAAAGAAAAAAGGAAAAAAAACCAAAGAAACCAAGTAAGATTCTAACACAAAAAAATTGCAAACAAACCTCTGTAAATCTAGTAAAAGCTATTATGCTGAATACGGCTAATAAAAAATTCCATATAATTAATGGAACTCGAAGTGTAAACGGTTTACGATTCTCCATGAGCCGTTGTATAAATTTGATAAAGATATAATAGACAACCGATATTGTAATACTGTGATGCCAAGTCCTTTGTAAAAATTGTGTTTTGCTGACATATCCTTCAATTTTCTCAAACGGTAGTGCATATCTTAAACGATTTCTGCTGTTAATGCCAAAAAAACCCAATATTTTTGGATAATTTATTTGCAAATTACCTGACAAAAAAACCAAAAAAAGAAATTTTTTTTTCCTAAACGCTTACTTGTACTTGTAGTCATTATGAAGACCGACACTGGTATTTGTACTGTAAAGGTCAAATTCATTTAACTTATAAAACATTTTGGCTACTTGATAATTCGTAACCTTTGGTACAGTTGATTTGGTTTTGAAAAATTAACCAACTGAAAAAGTTGAAGTCTTTTAAACCTAAACAAATCAACATTACTATATGTGGTATGAAGAAGACTCCTTTTATTAAGAAGCAAATAAAAATATTTTTGTCATACAGAAAGTTCAGTTATTGTATACTTGAAAATCGTCTTCATTTGACAGAATACACTAAAAAATTGGAAACTGAAAAAATTGAAACAGAATTGGAAACTTTTTCTAATTATTTTTTGCCATTAAATAATAAAAGAGAAACAAAAAAATGAAGAGGCATTGTTTAATATTGTCATCAAAACTTATTTTTCAAAACTTATTCAAATCGTTCCTTGCAAAAAATACTTTTTTCGGTACAGCAATTATGGTAGCATAAAAAATGAAACGATGAAATTTTTCGGTCGCTTAAATCAGGTCTCAAAATTTCATTGAACCAGTATCAGCAGCAAAAATTGGTGCAAAAGATCATCGGTTCCTTTGTTAACTTTCACTTCCTCTCTTCAAGGATAAAAAAAAAAAGATAGCTTAAAACCTGTCATAAATATTATCTAAGGATCAAAGTAATAAGACAAAAGAAAGTACACTGAGAAAGCGTATGAAGAATATTTTAAAAATTAATAAAAAAAGGAAAAGCGCAGCAGAGCAAAACAGAAGAACAAAAGACTAAAACGTATTTGAAAAAAAAAAAAA